AAAAAGGGTCATTTTGGATCAGATAAATAGTCATTTGTTTTACAAATTATAAACTGTACATGAACTATTATCTATGATGCATTTTGTTTGCCTACTTGTTTGCAAAATTTAGTTGGTAGATTTTCACTAGACTGTTAGTTTGCTGCTACATAACAGTATGTGATACTACCTATGAAAAATTAAAATTAATACTATTAAATACTTAAAACATAAGCTAAAAACCAGGGGACAGGTAAATGACCCAGAGACCCATGGAAGTTGCATGTTCTATATACAGAACCTCTGGACTGTTTTCAGCTTTTACAAAAATAATGATAGGTACTTGATTCTACAATGCCAGGCAGAAAGTGTTTTCAATTAAACAAAAACAAGTGAATACAGAATTGTACTCTAAAACCATGACCTCATATTTTAAGCCATTAGATTTTTTTCACATACTAATCATTAGAACAGTGGTTCTCAACCTTTTTAGACTCAAGGCACCTGCTGATAGACTTCAAGGCATCCCTCACTAGACTTCAGGCACCCCTTGGAAAATGTCAGCTTAGTTTCCATTATTTTATTGTTTTACCACAGAAAAATACAAGATCAACTTTTCTGCTGCAAAGACCCAAGAAAGATTGCAGCATGTCAGAATGTTTGTAATGCTATGGGCTCCTATTTGAAATCTTTGGATTTATACTGTGAATTATGTACCACAATACCATGATTAAGAATCACTACTTTAGACATAAAACCTACAGCAATAAACTGGAGCTCACCACCAGTCTCAAGCAGCTGTTTGCTATGGCTAATAAAAGCCACATCTGATTCACAAGCCTTCATCTTTGCAAGGGTTACAGAAACTAAATCCTACAAACAATCTGGGTTCTACCATACAAAGTAACTGATTTGTCAGCTTAGATGAAGAATCTGTGTCTGTCTCTATGTACAGTGGAACTGTATGTGTCTCTATGTACAGTGAAACTATACAAAAAGTGGAACTAGAAAAAAGAAAAGCTGCTTTGAACAAAAAAAAAAAAATCATTTTGAAAGTGTCAAAATGAAATGCTGACTTTCAGAAATGTGTTTTATTTTAAAAGCTGACAATTTAGGAGCTGAAGCAATATTGTAAGTTTCAATGCCATTAAATTTGCATTTTTCACAACATAGTTTTTCCCCCCAAAAAGCATACCCAAGGCCACAAGACGCAATTCGTTTTGTATCCCTCTACAAATATATTTTGACCAAAATAAACAAACAAACCCCACCTCCCACTATGAACAACTTTCACTGAAGGACCAAGAATTTCAGACCTTATGCAGATTACCTCAGTTAGCAGTAAACCTGGAATACCATTCCTGTAAGCAACTGATCATGTGACTAATTCTAATAGGATTGATCATGCAACTAATCCTACTGTAACCAAACTACATGCCCAAGAGAGCATAAATGAAAGCTGCACATGCAATAATTCTGGTTTTTGTTTTTTAAATCTTTTGAGGACTTGATTTCATAAAACCTGCACAACGTCTTTTAAGGTATTTTTAGGAAGCTATTTTATTAGTTAAAATTTGTCTTACATACCCACCTTAGATTTGACTCTCCCCAATACCCTTCTCATATTAATTCTTCTCTCCCCTTCTCTCCTAGTGCCATGATAAGCAGGACAGCCTCCTATTCCCATTTCATGACTCATCAACCATACCAGAGTTCCTGTGTACAAGTGTTCATTTAGTTTTTCTTGGAGGAAAATGTGCTGCCTCCAGAAGAAAGATCTTCTAGGTGTCAACACTTGGTTGCTCCCCTCCCAGTCGGGTCCAGGAAGGGAGTGGGTAGCAGCCACTGATATCTGCCTCTTCCCAAACCAAAGACTGTCCAGTTTGGACAACGTGCTGGAGGCTTTGCCCTGCTGCTCCCTTCCGCTTGTGGGCCACCTGGAAGGCAAGCAAAAAAGCAGCTCCTGCTCCCTTCCTCTTTCCCAGACCAGGCAGTCTCTAGGGGACTGTGGGTGCCAGTTTTGAACATGTCATGCCAGGAAAAGCCTCACACCACATAGTATGTTGAAAATTGGTGCCTGCACCCTACTGCTTTGCCCCACTGTGAAGGAATTGGCTCCCCAGACTCTGGGGGAGGCTCCCGGGTCTGAGAAGCAGCCAGGCAACTTTGCCCTGCTACTCCGGTCCACTGGGACTGGGAAGAGCCGCCCCATTGGACCGGGGAGGGGGGGCCAGCCACTCTTTCCCATGCCTTTCCCAGACCACTTCCCAGCCTGGGGAAGGTGCAGGAAGAGGAGACAGCTGCAGGATAAATGCCTATATATTGCTCCCTTTCATGGGACGATTTTTCAAGTATTTCTACTGCTAGGAATGAATGCCTGTTTGAGGCCACAGAAAGGGGCAATAGAGATGAACAGCAGTATAAGAGACATTTTAGGAAAAGAAGAGAAGCTCTTTCATGAAGAAGAGAAGATCTTTCATGTTTAAAACTTCCCAGACATACAGCAAAAAAGTTTGAGAGAACTTCAGAGAAAAGAACATAACTGGAAGAGACATTACTGCCTATTGTTCATCTTGTACCTACGGTTCCTTGTGCTTGCTTAAATATGATATGAAAAGATGTTATAGAGCATCTTTAGGGCCGCCTTGATCTGCGAGACAGCTCTAAAACTGAAATAATGTTTATTACTGTGAAAGAGCGAGTGCAGACGCAATGGGAAAAACCAGAGAGTGCCACTTCCGGAGCCGTTACCATATTAGGATAGAAGCTCCGAGAGCGGAGTGGGGCAGCAAGACGCAAGGTTCAAAGGCAGAGAAGGAAGAGACAGGAGAGGAAAAGAGCAGAGAGAGAGGATCCCCAGGGGATCAATAACATCACTCATTGTGCCCCGTAATGCCGGGAGAGAACAAAGCAGATAGAGCAAGGGGCTGATCTCCGGTGAGACAAACCCTGAGGGACGCGTCGTCTGCAGCCGGCATAATAAGAAAAATAAAGAAAAGAAGAGATTCGAGTTGATCCTTTCTTCCTAAATTAGAGACTGTGTTGGATTGTCCTTTAAGAGGATTTAAGGACATAAGCTATAGAGAAGGCAAACGGGAGATTCAGATGTTATTAAAATAAAAGGACTGCATATAGAGTGGTTTGAAGGGATAAGATCATGCTCAAGAAAAAAAAAAGGAATTGAACAAAATAAAAGGATGGAAAGATTCTAAGAGAGAGTCAGTTTATGAATACTAAATTCAGTTAATTCAGGTTAACAGAGGATAAGGTCATTGTATAAGTAGAATTACAAAGTTAATATTATAAGTAAGGTTAAAAAAGGATCTAAGAAACAGCTTCTGTCTGAATGTAAAGGAAAATTGTATGAAGTGATAAAAGACAAAAATAAAGACAAGTTAATGAGCTGCAAAAATCAGACTGTGACTGTATGTATAACTTTGAGTTTGGGCAAATATCCGGATAAGCGAACCAGATAATTTATGCATATTGCTCGTGAACCCACTAAAAAGGGTATAATAAGAACGAATTAACAAAGAGTAACCCTCCAAAATTAATAACATCCAAAATTAAAATCTATAATAATAACATCAAAGACGTGGCAGGAGAGAAAGTTGGGGTACACTGACAGTTCGCAGGACAACAATATAGGTGGACAAGGGCATTCTAAGCCCAACCACCACAATTACATATAGAATGTGAACATATTTTAACAGCATGCATCCAGCAAGTTCTCTAAAGTATAATACAGACTGCAAGTGGTGATTTTTTGACAGCTTAACTTGGCCATTTAGGAGGAACAAAATATATATCTCAAGCACCTGCCAAGTTTTACATTCATGTTGCAAACCATGAAGTTATCACAACTCTTACAAAAAAATTAGAAAAAGATTTATGAGAACTCGTAGGAATTCCAAATATAAAGGCCACTATTGCATCTCTCATAATAAATCTCAATTTACTAAGACTATTCAAGTCTTAGGTTGTTGTACACAGCAAGTCACTGTGCAATGTTTTTCAACAAAAACAACTTTCTGGCCTCTTGAGAGAGCTGCAGATGAAAGCAATATCTTGTGCCAGAGTTACTGGCTTAAGATACACTGTTTAAAATCACCCCAAAATGGCTATGTTCAGAAGGAGCCCTGTGAAAGCCATCTGACCACCAGGACTTAGAGGTATAGGACAGAAAAATGTATATGCTACCAATTATCAAGATGCAGCACTGAAAGCCCACAAAAGGCAACATGGAGCCTTCAAATCATGTTGGGCGTTCATGGTTCACATGTGCCCAATTGCAAAAAAGGACTGTTTTTAACGTTATTTTATCAATATGCACTGTATTGCAATAACTCACTCTAACAAGACTGAAAAACTGGAGCAGGTCAAATTAAGCAAGCAGACCACTTCACATGTAGGAAAAAAGACAACAGTGGGTACTTAACAAATCTGCAGATAAAATGGAGCATTGTCCATTCCCATACCCAAAGAAACTTGATTTTTAAAGCATTTAAGGGAGAAGAACTTAATGCTATTTGCTACTGCCTCTCTCTCCAAACAAGGGGAGATGCAACTAGCTTCAGAAGACAAATGATGCTACCTAAAGTCAGACTATAAGGAGGATGAATTACAGGTTTCCCAACAAAGAGTCCTCTGCTAAGTGATTCCTTGAAAGCAGCAAAAAAAATGCTCAAAACCACGACATTATACAAGACATTTCCTTGCAGAGGCTTTTATTCAATAAACAGAAGAAAGCTTAATATGGAACTTGCAAGTAGCTCATGGTAACAGTTGGTTACAATGGTTAAATTGCTTCAAAAACGCTTTTAAAGAGTAACCTCAGATATGCTTACACAGTTCAGTCCATGTCTTTTCTTACTCCAAAAGACCATCACAAACTGCACCTTCCTTCCATTTTAAGTGTTTGCCCAGCTCTGACCGGACAAGGACTGACTAGCACATTACCAGTTGTTCTAAAACGCGTAATGCAATTCACAAGGACCCATCACTGTCATCCCATTCACTACCTGTGGACTTATTTGATGCTCTCCGTCGAATCTCTGTCACCATCAATCGTGACACCTGTGTAGTAAACTGCAGAAGGTCAGAGAATTTTTCTGTCATTGTACTTGGAGGAGCATTTCCAAATACCTAGAAACAAGAGAAAAGAGATTTTGTAACATGTTTCTTTATTGTACTTTTTTACTTGCTTGCAAATAGCTTTCGCAATTAGGAAGAAAGCACATGCTTACACTGTTAGAGAGAGCAAAAGAGGAAATCCACAAAAGCTTTTATTTTATATTCAGTTGTCTTAAATTTGAAATGACATGCCCACGAGACTCTTGTATCCTACATAAATTAATATTTCCACCAAATAACTGATTTACAGAAAAACATGAAATATTCTCATCTTAATGCTTTAAGTCAGATGTGTCCAACTGGAAGCCCCTGAGGGATTAATGTGTCCCTCCCCCAGGGTCAGTGTCTGGGTGCTACTCCCCACTTTGCTCTCTGAAGCTTCTGCGGAGTCCCTGGGCTTCCCTTCCCTCCTCCAGCTTCCACTGTCCACCCTGTCCCCAAGGCTGAGGGAGCCCACAGCTGAAGAAGCTTGGAGTAACCCAGGGATTCCCAGGACTTGACCTCCATACAGTAGGAGAAGGCCTGCACAGTGCACTGAAGTGCATCCATGAAGCAGGAGGGAGAGGATGGTGCAACCATGAGGGGGAAGATCTTGGCCTTGGGGTGACTCGCTCAGCACGTCAGGGCCCACATGGTAGGGCAATGGGGAGTGGTGGGAGGGAGGGATGGGTGCAGTGTGCAATATATGTGCTCAGATTGTGCATGGCCCATGCAGTGTGAGGCTAGGGGGCCTGCAACCTTCAGCCACTCAGAAGTTGGACAGCCCTGCTTTAAATTGTATTGTGTTACAGAGAGGTAAACAAAACATGGTTGTTAAACGGGAAAACAATGACGCATCCTTCTTCCATTAGGTCCAACTGGCTCAGCACTTAAACAGGAGAAAAACCTATGACACAAAGATAAGAAGTAAAAGGATTTTACTGCTTGCATACCGGGCAGTCAACTGTCTTTTGGCTAAGCAGTGTGAAGAGATGCTAGGAATTGGGCAGGAGGAGGCAAGCTCACAAGTACTCTGGGACTAGGTGGACGAGGCTTTCACTGCTCTGGTACCCATTTCAGCCTCTTGGGCAAAGAACGAATGTGAGAGCTCAGAGGTGAGCCACAACTCATAGGATCATTACCATAAGAAACCACCTCAAGTTTGATAGGTTCTTTTATTTCCTAAGCAAAAGACAGCTAGAGAGCACATCAATGAGCATTCTAGCAAGGGAAGCAAATTCTGGATCCAGAGTTTGATTCGGCCATAAAAACTAAATCCCACTACTCAGATTTGTCTAGCGGTGGTCTCAAAACCTAGAAAAAAGTATTTTTTTTATTTTGTTTTCTAAATAGCCATGAAAAAAGTACATGACAAGAAACAGGAAAAAGGGGGGGGGGGAAAAAATCACATGACAAACAGCACACAAGCGCTGAAGGTGCTCTGTCTCTCTGTCAAGAACAATAAAAACTAAGGAATAATTCGGCAGCTCCACCTTTTATGCCCTCAAGTGACACAGCATGAGATCTCGTACAACAGAGGTTCCGAAACTTTTTCTTATTGTATACCCTCTTTCAGGTGGATTTATCAGCTGCCCGCATACTCCTACCAACATACATTTTATATTTTAACCCTTTAAATGCCAGTTATAATAAAAACAAAATCTGCCATTACACAAGGTGTCCCATATACCCCCCAAGAGATGCCTTGCATATACCACAGCTTGGGAAGCCCTGATCTCAGTATGAATGCAGCCCCAAAGGACACTGTGGGCCAAAATAATCCCATCAACATGAGATAAGTATGACCCTTTCATAAAGCTAAGATTTGCAAAGTCAATGGTTAACTCGTCAATAGTAACACTGGTAAAACTGCACAAGTGGGGTTATGAACAAAACAATCCTGTTTCACCAGAAGCTTATTTTCTACATTGTCAGCCACAAGCCATTAGTTACAGAGTTCTATTTTTTTAATTCTAAATAAGATATGTACCACTTTCAACAGAAGTACTGGGGAAAAAAATATAAGGCTATCATCTTTAGGGGAATCCCAATTATTGTCCATCTTATTACATTAGGTCTCCTGATTTCCAAGGGTAAAAAACACTCCTAGCTCTATTGTGCTTTATGCTGCTTTTCTAATCTCCAAATTTGCGATTTTTAATTCTTTGAGCAAAAGGAAAAAAGTGGGAAAGGCTTGAGACACCCATTGGTAAGCTTGTTAAACCCTCAATAAGATTTCATAGAAATATTATATGTAATTATACATTTTGCTACATATTGGAAGTAATGAGTAGTAAATCATATTAAGTACAAAATATTATTTAATTGGTAGTTGGTTTCTTCATGATTAAACAGAAGTAATCTGATTACTAAAGAAAATGTTTAAGTGGGGTTCAGATATAAGAAACTGTGACTAAGTATACAATAAACTACTTGAACAATTGGGCACATTATTTTACTTTAATTTGTCACAACCCAGTGATTTTGGTGCCTCGGCACAACGGAATTTTCTTGCAACAGGAGAGCCTCTTGCACAGCGAAGGTTTTCTGTTGTAGCAGAAGAACCTCGGTGCAAGAGAGTTCCCGCCAATTTGCAGGGTGCATTTCTTCTTTGCAGCACAGAAATGCACGGTGCAAAGAGTTCCCGCTATTCGAATGCAAATTTGTGTCCCGCTATTGGCCAGTGCTAAATTATTCACACGTGGCGGCTAGTAATTGGCTTGCTAGCCGTTTAAAAGTTCGCGCGACTTCCGCCCAAGTTGAAGAACTTTGAGCACGCTGCAGAGTGCCTCTAAAGAGATCTGACTTGCGGCTAGCTGATCGATAGACTGATCACCTATCGATCTTTCTTCCCGTCGCCGAGCGCAATCCCAGACGTACCCTTTTCCCGCCAGCTTAATTTGTGGACGGATTAACTGGCTTGGGCCTCGCCAGCTGGAACAACTCACATAGTTGTTCAGACGACCGGACCATCTGCGTCGCAACTACAGGCGGCGTAAGTAAACGTTTTTGCAACCATTAAACCTTGTCTGCCTCTCCATTCACCAGCCCGCCCTGACGAACGAGCAATTTCTAAATCACCTCGAGTCGGCTCTGGCCGGCCGAGACACAACTAAAAATTAATAATCAATATTGAAAGAATCAGACATTTTCCTTTTGATTGCAGTCTTGCAACAGACAGGAATGTACATAAGTTTATATGTTTATAGGTCCTTTTCTAGCAATGGTTCCAATCAAATAGGTAACATCAACATTTATTATATTTATCCAACAAGAGAGGCACACAAGATACAAACTATTTTTCACAAGTCAATGTTTTCTGAATGCCAGCATATCTTAATCTGCCAGTATCTGATAAAATGATACAATCTGCTAACTGCAGGTTGGACTGCATAAAATCAAAAGTCCTCTCTTGACTCATCTGGCTTTACTTCTAAGAATAACTGAATACTCTGAAGGCACAACATTAAAAGAAAAGCCCGTACATATAACAGGTTACAATTTTTATAACAAAATGCATTTAAAGCCATTCTATTGTATTCTAGATAAGATGACAGCATTTAATAATAGAATCATAGGACAAGGGGGTTGGAAAGGACCCTGCAAGAGTCATGTCTACACAAGCGGTAAACTGCACAGTTGTTACTGCGCAGTGATTTAGTACTTGTATAACCAAGTATTAAATGACGGCACAGTAACAAGCGTTACTGCACAGTAGCATCCCCACATGGTTTTCTTCAGAAGCTACTATGTAGTAGCAATGAGATACTGTACTTTAGCATCTCATGTAGACACGCCCATGATCATCTAATCCAGACCCACTGCTCAAGATAGTATCATCCTGGACTAAACCACCCCAACCAAGTGTCTGCCCAGTCTGCTCTTGAAAATTTTCAAGGAGGGGAGATTCCACAACTTCTCTAGGTAGACTCTTCCAGTGCTTGACTGCCTTCATAGGTCAGAAAGTTCTTCCTAATCTCCAACCTAAATTTCCTCTACTGAAGCTTGAGGCCTTTGTTCCTAGTTCTGTCCCCTATAGCCACAGAACAAAGCCCCTCCCCATCCTCTCTAAAAATTACCCTTTGAGTATTTCAAGACTGCTATCAAAACCCCCTTAGTCTTCTCTTACTCATCAGACTAAATAACCCTAGTTCTTTCAATTTTTCCTCCTAAGTCTTGCTTCCCAGGCCCCTCATCATTTTTGTGCTCTGTGTTGGACCTCTTCCAATCTGTCCCCATCCTTCTTAAAGTGTGGGGCCCAAAACTGGATGTAATACTCCAAGTGATGCCTTATCAGTACTGTATAGAGCAGAAGAATCACTTCCCTTGATTTGCAAGTGATGCTTCTGTTAATACAACCCAGTATTGTCATGATGCGGGGTCCTCAGGGACAGGACAGTCCGTAGGGCTCCGTGACTGAGCCAACTCCACCCTACTGGCAACTTCTAATCTTGCCTGCCATATCTTGCTGGTAAAAGTAATAAATAGGGAGGCCACCCGCGTCACAGCTCAGTCACGGTCCTGATGGTCCCCCCGCCCCCGCCAAACCCTGCAGGTTATTGGACCCCTTGATGGGCCCTGCTCTTGATAGGTGACATATGGGACACCCCAAGCCTTATGGGCTACATGCGTGGCTCCGAAACAGCCCCTTCTCCATGCCCAATGCCTCGTGGATAGTATTTAGACGTTGTCTCTCGAGATGAGGCCTTGGTCTAGTTTGACATCTTGTTGTCACTGGACCCTGAGCCTCAGTAACTATGCCCCCCACTGCTGGGGTCTCCGTACTCCCTGGTGCTGGGGTCTCCACACTGTAGTGTGCCCCAATGAGGCCTCCTCCTCCCCAGTAGCCTCATCCCAGTCCCCCCCGAGTACAAACAACAATCAAAATATGAGCGCCTGGGCTATAACATAATATAGACAGTGCAGAGTGCGCTGTCTTTTTAAAAGAGGCAAACTTCTCCGAGCATTAACTGCCTCACAGCCCAGGGTACCTGAAGGAGCTCCAGGAGCCCCATTAGTCCTGTAAGCGGTAT